ATTAATGTCTTTTTAGTCTTACTTTTATATTTCAATTAGGACCTTAATTTCTTAAAACTCCTAGACTTATTGAGTGTGTGTGTGTGTGTGAGTGTGTGTGTGTGTGTATGTGTGTGTGTGTGTGTGTATGTGTGTGTGTGTGTGTGTGTGTGTATAATTTATATAATGATACTCCATTGGCCTTGGGGTACAAAGAATAAGTCATCCATCGAAAATCAGTTAAAAATAATACTGACATGAAGTTTGGTGATTGTAACAAGACACCCACTTGTAACGGACAACTTTAAATAAATAGCAGTGAACATAAGACAAGTGCTTAAAGAATAATACTAGACTTCTAAAGCCTGAGTTGTTTTTGTAATGTACGTATCTTTATATCCCCACCGACAAAATTTCGATAATGTTGGAGGCAGGCTTCAACACTGCCTGTGATTGGGCCAACCCACCAAAGCGAAGAGGGAAAACAACCACCTAGCAGGAAGAGCAAAATATTCAAGAAAAACTTTCCCCACCCGGGAATCAAACTTGGGTCTCCTGCATGTAACGGTATTGTGTCTAACCGTTAAACCAGATGCCAGCAGGACCAGAGTGAAGTCAGAATTAAATTATCTATAATTTATAGACATGTCACATCCATATGGTAACAGCAACTACATATAAACTCCACGGATGATTAACCAACGGCAGAGGATATTTTCACAAAACGGCCCAAGGATCATTACTTAACAGTTAATTTAATGGTACTTGCGCAATTTTGTGAAATGAGTTCTCATGAAAAAAAAACCCAAATTCCTAGAAACAATCTGAAGAGTGCGGGTCAAGAATTTCAATATTCGACTAGAAATTTGAGCACAAAAGTATCATACATACAAATGTTGTCAAGGAACAAAAACATAAAGGGGTTTCAACTAAAAATCAGAAAATAGGAATGCTCTTTTTCCAAATGAGCTTTGGTATTTTTCATTGTCCAAAATAAAGATATAATTTGCTGTGTAAATGTCTTTTACCCTTTATTGGTTCATGAGCAACAACAAAACATTTTGGAAAAACGGGACAGCCTGTGTGACAAGTACACTGGGGGTGCACAGCACTGTAGTAATTGGTGCACATAAAAAAAACCCAACATTTTCTCAAGTGCTATTTTTTTCAAATATATTAAATAATCTTTAAATTGAAAGGTAACATAAGGTTTGACACATACACACATGTATGTGTGCATATAGCATCATTGATGACCCTTAAAGTATTTCACAAAACAAAGAGACTAACTAAGACCTCAAAGAACGTAAGGACAGTAGAGCTGAGCAAGCCATATCAATTGTCATGGGGAGCTATGTAGGCCTATAAATGTTGAAATGACAGAATAATCCTCAAGTATGTTTGGCTTTCATAAAATGACCATGAGAATGTGAACGCAATTTTCCTCATTTAATAATACACATGAAAAACTATATATGTATACATCTAAAAGCTGCCATACAGAAACGGTAGTTTTTATCATCATTTAACAAGTAACACCAACAAAAAAACTCATTTTCGTACAGAAGAATACATACAAAGTTCTCCGACATTCAGAAATGTTACAATTCTTGAAACCTTGATGATTTTTTGTTCTCAGCAGTCTGCACATACATTGTCAAGGTTAAATAAGAACAAAAACTGATCAACACTAACCAGACCCTTGAGTGAGTATGGAAATCTTGGTGGTCATAGCGCTCACCATCAACACAAGATGTTATATTACTGCTGGAAGACAGAAGTACCAAGTTTTAAATAACACAGGTAACGTTACAAAAATGTATAAATACCTGGTCTGTGCAGCACAAATCTATCAAAAACTTAATGAACGTTAGCAATGTCAATAATTAGAAATAGCAGTTATGAGTCCACATCATGCATACCAGTACAACTGATCTAATTTGGTGAAGTATCTTGAGCATCTGGCAAATCTCACAGAATAGATGAGGCATCGTAGCCAAAGTACATACAGTTCTGACAGAGCTATCGAAATGATCATCTTTAAAAAAAAAAAACAACAACATCTAAATCTTAAGGGATTATGAACAATACAATTTCAGCACAGAGTTTATAGAAGTTTCCAACTTGTCTTGACGTCGGACATATTGTCATCATCTGCACTAAAACACAGTAACGTTGCATACAGAAGCTGTAACATTTACCTTACAAAAACAAAATGTAAACTTGCATAAAGTTCGTTCAAACAGACCATCAAAATAAATTTCCCATCTCTGTTACATAACAAAGCTAACAGTTGTTCATGCAAGGATGACTGTGAGGGTTTTGTGATTTTTTAATCCATTATACAGCAGTTGATGTCCTATTCCTCTGCTAATTCTACTCAAAGATAGCACACCAAAGTATATGATAAAACAACTCTTACGGCACTAATATATATCAAGGTAAGTCTCCTGACCTAACTGAGCTGCCTCTGAAAAGACAGACTAACTTCATCATGCAGGCAATAAAAATGTTAAAACTTCTTAGTTTTAGTTTTAATAACAGTTTTACATTACTTGAAACATACAAAGAAAGGTTATATAAATGCCAAAGAATAGAGGTGTTACTTCAAGATAAGATAGAAATAAAAGAAAGAGGAGTGATAAAGGTGATAGACGTTTGATAGGAAAGAAGTAGGAGGAGCAACCACATCAGAGAGCCCGCCAACCACCCAAGTTAGAATTACCCCTGACATTTAATTTCCAAAATTTTTTAAATATCAGCTGCAGACATTCAGTTGTGACAGTAACATCTTGCAAGATCTTAACAATCAAAAGACAGGTTCAGATCATCACAGCAACCATTTTGATTGATCTCAAAGTGAAAAAATCCCAACATATTAGTTAGTTTAGTGGAAGTTTTACGGCGCCTGTAACTTCATAAGGTCATATGAGCTCGAGAAACACAAGTTGGTTGCACTCACGACAGTTCTTAGCACGGCTTTATTTTTGGTCAATTAACAGATTAAAATGTTTAAAGATTCATGGTAAATAATTCAACTAAAAATTTAAATTTACAGAATATCAAACATATTCATGTGCATAATTACATTAGAATCATAATAATGAAGAGAGATCATGAACACTGATTCTTTTTTTAAAAAGTGAAACCGTGAAATACTTCCACTGAGCTGCCATCAGGGCTGAGGAAGCAGAAGAGGGCAACACACGGAATTCTGTGAGGACCAGATTATGGCAGCAGCATAGATAATGATAGTGTTATACTCCAACCATGCAATCTTCAACCCATATTTCTTGAAAAATCTTCGACAGGCAAACCACCCCTCCCACCCAAAAAAAGTTCTGATTTAAATGATGAGAATACCCAAAAGTTAGCCCACTTACTACACGCATTACACTCTGATACAATTGACAGTCACCATTGCGATAAGACCAGGTAATCTCAATAGAGTCATTTTTACAGGAGAAGCAAATGTAAAAGCTTATTAATTTGTTTTCATCTCATCACTCAAAAAACTGGTGGGTGGCTTTATTTCTAACGCTCTAGGAACTTAATTTCTGGTTGAAATTCAGACCTGTCTTTGGCTAAGCATATGAAATGGATATTCACTATTTATTTGGCAACTTTAAAAAATTGACATTTTGGATGTTTCGTGGTCCTATCACAGGCGCGACAATATTATAGTGCATGCTAACTCTTAACTTTTTCTTTTTTCGGTAAATGTTTTACGGCGCTCACAACTGCATTAGGTTGAGCACGCGTCACCTAACTTTGTCAAGAAACTACTATAATCAACCTCGGCAATAGCTTTAGAATTTAAAACATGAGTTGATCTTTTTCATTCCACTTGCACAGTTAGAGCATAGCACCATGAGAGACTGTACAACAACATTATATAACAGGTAAATCATTGGAATACTGAGACAGGTACGTTTGTTTTAGCAGAGGTTTTATGGCGCTCGCAACTGCATAAGGTCATATTATGAGCGCTGAGACAGGTATGTTGTTGGCAATGGGACAATCTGGGTGTGAATAAGGCACAAAGGCTGGTCAATAAGATTTATAAGTCAAACAATTTTCACCTCGATCACTGTGGAGAATTTCAGCGTCAACCAGTTGAAAGCTCCAATCACAGCACTCTTAGAGGGCCATCAAAAATTCAAGTCGCAACTTATTGCCAAATATTTCCTAAACTACCAAACACAGATTATTCAACTTTAGCACAATGACTTGTATCAATAATTTGTCTTTACACATCAATATTTTTGTAAACACCTGTTAGCTGTATTCTCAAAAGTTCCTTAATAATACCAATAAAAATCCAAGTGGGCGGTTTCTACAGATTTTAAAGGGTATATAGCTGGGACAATATCGCTTTTAAAAGCAAGTCTGTCATGATTGTCTAATCGCAATGCTACGCTTATTGAACTCATGTTTTGAGAACTTTTGGGGCAAACAAAGTGTTCACTATAAAATTAATTTCTTGTAACAAGTTTTACCACTAAAAAGTGTCATTGGTGAGCTGTGACGTAGGCCATAATGCGTATGCAAAAGGAGGGTGAAAGCAGGAACTGCTGTGAACAAACCCATTTTCCGCATGACAAAGATTTATAGTATTTTATAAGAATTTATGAAGAAAAGATTTTTAATCTAGCCTCAATTGTTGTCAAAAAATATGATTAAGTTAAGACAAATTGATACAAACTGCTGTGCAAAATATGGGGGGACACTGATTCACCTGTTAAAGAGATACTGGTATTTGAGGATAAGTTGCGCCACAAATTTTTGTCAGCGCTATAGTCAAGAGAGAACCCCTTTGACGGTACCAGCTATAGTAATGCTTCTTTGTGAGAAGAACATGTTATGGCATCGCACACATTTTGGCATCAGAGAGTTTGTGATTCTCACCAGGACGGAGTGGAAAGTTGCTTCTTTCTTGTTTTTCGTTTGGAGGTGGGGAAGTTTGTGGTTGTCTTGATTTGCAGTTATTGTCGTTGTTTGTTAATTTGTTTGTTTGGGGGGTGGGGTTGGAGGCAGTGGATAGAGGGCTGACCTGATGAGCTGACCCTGAGTGAGGAGCCTCTCACTAGTTCATGTCTCCCATTGGTTCAGAGACATGATAATTGATAGCCTCACATCAAACAGGGAAGGTTGCCCCCCGGGCATTTACTTTAGGTAAAAGTCAATATCCACTCATTAAGTCCCCATTACACTAGCCTACTGTTACAGGAATAGATAGCAATCCCCTTGTAAAATCCCCAACAAATAAATGAGAATCCACAATGAAAGGACAAAAGCCAGGTATAGCCAGTGTGGTGAGAATGGTATCAATTCCTTAATGTAAGGCAGATCTTTTATATCCCTGAGATTTTCAAATGTCCAAGACTACAGGAATGAAGCGGTCCAACAGAACATCATCTTCATAGTATGGAAAATGTGATCAGGTTGGAAAGTCTGCAAGATGATACTCATGTTGCTATATGATGGGAGAAAGTTTCATTCCGTCATTCTGCACACCAATACATGACACGTGGAAATCGTCATTTTGAAGAGGAAATTACAGGCAAGCTTTCAGTAGTATGTCACAAGGATGAGTTGGCCATATGTACAGCAGGCTTGCCAACTTTGTCAAAATCCGATCAGAGACATCTAATGTTTTATCATCAGATTATTTAACAACGCACAAAATTATATCAAGTAGAACTGCCGAATACGTGACAGTCCCTAAAAGTTCCGGACATTTAGCAAGCCTGTAAATAACAATACAAATTTCCTCCACAGTGCAGAAATCTTTGATGAGGGTACAAAAATTTCCACTTCTGAGTATCAAAGACTTACAGTACGCTGACAGAAAAGAATAAAGATAAATCTATACAAAATAACTGCATCAAACATGGTCGCCGAATTCCAGCATTTCTTCTTCATCCATCTCCGTGGTTGGCTTCACATTCCCATTGATAACATCACTTCTCATGTCCTTTTTCCTCAACTTATTGTCCACTGGATTTTCCTTATACAAGCGCCACAGGTCCTTCACCAAGTCCGTCAAAACAAGCTCAGACGAATTCTTAGAAACTACTCTCAACACAAAAATACCATCATCCCGCAGATATTCGTTGGCAAACTTCCGTGCCAGTTTGGAATCCATCTTGTTGTGAATGTGGTCATTGATGACTAAGTACTTTTTGGCATAGCGGTAGCGGTTCTCTCCCACGAGAATGTAGTAGAGCCAGGACACGTAGCTCCCACAGGCCACAATAGCCACAATCAGCAGCCAGAACCACAAGAAGAGGAAGATCTTCTCGTTGAACAAATTGATGGGCAGCACACATTGCACCGTGTAGCGCTGAAGATTCTGCAGCTGGCGGATCTCAAAATCGCAGAGTGTGACTCGAGGGAAACGAGGCGAGTCTTTCAGCTCACCGTTCTCCGCCAGCAGCCTCATCATCTCAAAGCCGTACACGTTAAAATCCATGGACAGAAATCCGTTCAGGATGAAGAACTGGCAGATGGAGTTGACCACGTAGAGGAGTTTGATGAACAGGTAGAACCCGGTGAGGAACCGGCCCTCCCGCTTGGCCAGCCAGAAGCAGAAGACGCTGGAGAGGCGTTGCCGCATGCGCACCAGCAGGTTGAAGCGGTACTGGCGGTGCGCCTTGAGCCAGCGGTCCAGGTACCGCGCCACCTGGTAGATGGTCTTCTCCCGGTCCTCGGGCTTGCCCATCTGTGTGCTCTCCGCCAGCTGTACCAGGCGGTCCATGTTCAGGCCACTCGTGTTGTTGAGCAGACGCCAGATCAGGTTGGGGATCTGCCAACAGACGGACAGAAGATGGCCAGTGAATGGGCTTTGTTTTATTATAAATATGACAATAATAATAATAATCATAATCATCATCATCATCATCATCATAATATAAATAATATAAAAATGATGATAACGATGATAACAATAAAA